CAACGTGATTTGCCGAAGCCAAATGCAAATGCTGATGGTGAGCTTGGAGGGCAATCAGATGCTTCATTGGAGATGTCCCTTGATGGATGGGATGTCATTTCACTTGAATATTCTGTTGAATGGCCCTTGCAGTTGTTCATTACTCAGGAAGTCCTCTCAAAGTAAGGCCCAATGCTCTATTGTAGTGTAATTTTAGTTATTACTATGAAGTGTCTTATGTGAAAGTGGTGTAACATATAGTTTCCTTTTGTTTTGCGATTTTCTGCCTCCACCCCCACAAATAAAGATTTGTTTGACTAAGGTATAACATTTAATGTTTTGCAATGCATGACTCTTATAACGCATCAATCATACTCATACTTTTCCAATTTATTTGTTGTAATAATAATAATTTGGTTTAGGTACCAACGAATTTTCCAGTACTTGCTCCGACTTAAGCGGACACAGATGGAACTAGAAAAATCATGGGCTTCTTCGATGCATCAAGATCACTCAGACTTTGCTCAGCACCGTAATGACCATTCAAAGCCCTCAACATCACAACAACGACGACAACACATTAGACCAATGTGGCATGTAAGAGAGCATATGGCTTTCTTGATAAAAAATCTTCAGTTCTATATTCAGGTAATCTATGTATGACCTTCTATCTTTATTATTTGCATATGACATGCATAATCACATATACATATGAAGTCAATAATTATGAAATAGAATTCATAGTATGCCTCATGGGATCCAACCGGGTTGTTGTTCCATTGTTGTACTTCATAGTATGGCTATTTTTATAGATTGACGTATAGTTTCGAAGTATTTGGTGCAATATTACTTATCATAACATTAGCCCTTGTTCGGTTGGAGGGAAGGGGAAAAAGTGATGGACTGTTGTGTCTGTTTGGGGAATTATGGGGAAGTGGAGGATATAGAAATGCTATACTCCTCCAAACTCCTTAGATATCACTCCCCCATTTTGAAGGTATATATTTTTTCTTAAATTCTTTTTATATTTAAAATCAAAATTGCCGTATTACACTACCCTATTGGCCTATAATTGTTTTGCATAATAGGCTAATAATTACAACAAAAAGCATATCAATATGTACATATTTTAAAATTTTCTAAAATTCCATCAACCCCAACTAGCTGGCAGTGAGGTGTTGATAATGATAATGCCGACAATATATTTCTGAAGTACTCTTTATCCCGAAATTCGTTTCTCACTTAGGCCGGTCCTGAAATGAGGAAAATTAGAAAGACCCTGTGCTAAAATATATATTAGGCCCAATTTTGTTTTGTGTTGAGTAGTTTTGTTTTAAAATTAGTGAAAAATTCGATATTCATGATCAATAATGCAAAACATTGAAATGAAATATATATTTTTATATTCAAAACATTGATTTTAGAAATTTCAAATAGTGAGAACATTAAACCTCTACAAAATCGAGGTCCCCATGCGGGTGCACATCCTCAGGGCTGGCACTGCTTCTCACTTTTCAAATATGATTTTCATCCATGTCAGATACATCTTAGCAATTTCTTCAAAGGAAAGAAAATGTATGATTCTTAGTTTTTCTCACCTTTCTAAAATAAATCTCAACCATATAATGTCAATTTCTAAATAAGCCTGCCAAAAGCAAATGGGAACCTTATATGGGGATGGAGTACTAAATTCCCATTGAACTAAACATAACATCTTTTTTGAACACTTGCTCCCCGTCCTCTCAAGTCTCAACAAAGTGATTAAGATTGGAACGTGTCTGTATTCACTAATTGTTTGATTTGTCTTGTATTCTTATCTCTATCACTGCTAGTTGATCTTTCTTTCATGGCCAGGTGGATGTTATAGAATCTCAGTGGAATGTCTTGCAGTCTCATATTCAAAATTCTCATGATTTCACAGAACTCGTTGGCTTCCATCAAGAGTAAGTAAAGAGGAAAGCTTGAAGTTGTATCATAGTATCTATTAATTAGCCCGTATTAAGTTGTCGGGCACTAAGGAGCGACAAGCTTTTGGACATTTATGCAGTTACCGCGCAACAAGCTTGCTTGTCTTATGTTATAATTTAGGCTTTGTTTGGGAGCAAAGCTTTCACTTAGTGCTAGCATTAGCGTTTTGGATAGTTTCTTTATGGTGCAGATTAACTTTGAAAGTGCTATAAAACTAAACGTTGTTATTAGATTGCTTTTTCAAAACATTAAAGTTAAATGCTGAAGCTCTTGCCAAACGGGCACTTAAAGTGGTTATATGCATGTTGTTAATTTGCAGGTACCTGGCCGCATTAATTTCACAATCTTTCTTGGATATTGGTTCAGTCTCAAGGATCCTGGATGGCATAATGAAGCTCTGTGTCCAGTTTTGCTGGAAGATGGAGAATCAGGTGGGCAATGGAGATACGGGTGAGCTTGAGCGTATTGCCGAGGTATGAATGACTCAAAATGGATCTCATTTTTGAAGTCATTACTACAGGAGAAGAAAAATGCTACATTAATCCCAGGGATGACACCACCACACAGACAATCACTCACAGTGGCGGTGTCAACCTTAATGTCATCCGTGGTGTGATTGTAGCATGACCTAATCAAACTGCTTACACCTTTTCTACAGGAATTTAACAAAAAATCAAACTCCTTATACACAATACTCCGAAGTAGTAAGCTCGCTGGGAGTCAAAGAGCACCGTTCCTCAGGCGTTTCCTTCTGCGTCTCAACTTCAATTCTTTCTCTGAGGTAACGTTTTCCCCCATAAGCTTCCCGAGCAGTCTCTAGATCCTCTTCAAATAGATCTTACATTTTGGTGTATATGATGATGATGATGATTTTACCAGGTGATTGCATTGAATGTCGTTGGGCATCGCCCACATCTTGCTGTTTAGCCGACTACTTGTTTTCTGCCTAAAATGCCCTTAAATTTCAGTGGGGAAATGAAGGTAAGCTCTTTAAAATGCTTTGGGGGAGCCATTGGCATGTTGTTATCCTTTCTTTAATCTATAGCACATATTAATCTATAGCACATAGTACTCCGTATTTGGAAGGATGCATTCTTTCTATCCCCTCGTGTGCAATATTGCTGTGATTGATTCAGTTTTCTCCCAAATCACTCTCATTCACACTTTGTTTTGTGTTATTCAATTAGTATTAAAATGTGAAATTTACACAAATTGTAACAGTAACATAATTAAATATCAGAAAATCGAGTTGATTAATCGACAACTAAGTAAAATCTTCAGCAAATTCACATGGGCAGGGAATGTATACATCTATAAGTTGCACAATACTCATTTTGTACATTTACTCTTGTTTTTTTTGCATATACTTATGTATATTATGAAATTGATCTTTGCGCATTTAATAATCACAAAATGCTCATTTCCTTGTAAAAATATTTTTTTAAACATTTTGTTACTCATAGCATTTCCAAACCATGAATGCAATGTCCAATGTCAAATTAGTGCCAATACCTGCGTCTAAGGTCATGTTCTCTTTATTTGATCTGATTGGAATAAATATTCAATCCCTCGTCTTCCCTTCTCATCTTTTTCCTTACTTCCATTTCCTTTCCTTTTCAGAGATGGTTCTTTTTTCCCTTTTCCCTTTCAATTATTATTATTATTATTTTATAATAGACAAATTCTATGGTGGATTTGAGGTCTATCATGAACTTACATATAAGTAAAATAAGCATTTTCATACTACGTAAATAACAATCTGTATTTTTTAATTGAAACATAAAAAAAATAATTTTTATGTGAGAATGTCCACAAAAATAGTATGCATTCAAGGTGTACCATAGAAGTACTTTTTTATGATATTTATTTTAATTTAAAATGATTAATCTAAAAACATAAAATACAACAATTATTTAAATTTAACATTTAATTAAAATTAATTTAAAAATACAATAAAATTAAATCATATTTGAATAAAAGTGCATAAAAATAATAAATAATAGTTCGTCTTAAAAGATCTAAGAAAAGATTAGGTCTTAGCTTGATTAAACTAGTTACATCACGTTTTAAGGAAAAGTTGCTCTTCTTCAGACCATTTTAATTAAATTTTTGTATGAAGATGCTAAGCAAATGTTTGCTATTCTGATTAATATTTTTTTTGTTGGAAAAAGAAAAAAAGGGAAATGCTTCTTATATGATAAGTTATTTAAGAAATAATGTAGACCTTAAATCCACTAAAAAGCACTCTCTTCATATATCATTTTTATAAAGGAAAGTTAATTTTTTAAAAAAGAAAATTAGATTTGGAAATAACTATCTTAGGGCCTGTTTGACATCATCAAAAGTTTGAGTTAAAATTTTGAATAAGGTTATACAATGATAAGATTTAAGTTTGGCGTTTTTAATATTAATTTTTGATAATAAAGTTATATCCAAAATATTAGTATCATTTGATAATATTATTCCCAAGCAAGGCCTTAATCATTTCATGCGTTGTATTACTCTTTTCATACCTAGGTAATGTTTATTGCTTGATTTTTTAGAGTATGAAAACTTAAAAAAATACAGGTATGTTTTAAATTTATTTAGAGAAAAGAAAAATTACAACAACCAACACATTCTATATTTTAAAAGCAAATTTAAAAAGGAATTTACTGTACTTTCAAAATTTTATTTACTTATTTTTTATGATTGAGGTGCCATGCTCAAAAATTGTGGACCTTAACACCTTATAAGAAATATACACCATTCTCTAACAATCTAACATGCATATGAAAGTAAATTCAGGTTTAATTCCAAAGCTACTGCTGCATAACAATGAAAAGAAAGTTTATTGTGATCCCATACAATTTTATACAATTCTTTACAGTTAATTTATTTTTATTTTGGTAATAAATATAGCAAGGAGAACAATATAGATTGTTCTTGTTTTTCCATAAAAAAGTATTTGTTTATCAAATAAAACCTAAAATAACAATATAGGAGTATATTTTATATTTTTGGAGTTTTTTTAGGAATATATAGAATCTAAGTATACAATTTTGTAACAACCTAAATTTTTATTTTGAAATTAAAAGCATACAATCCATTTTGTTTTGATAATTTTTCCATATTTTAAATTTATTATAAATGATTTGTTTTTAAAGTAATGAAAGTCAAAACTGTGAAGGGAGCGTATAAGATTAGAGGGTACGCGTTCGGCCTTCCACCAACTCCCCTCGCCGGCCGTCTTCATCATCTTCTTCCTTCCTCACCAGAAACACTTGAAGAAAATGGATCCGAAAAGCTCCCGAAGTGAAATTCAAGAACCAGAAGAACAAGAAGTTGAAGAGCAGCAGAAGATCCAATCTTTTGCTCCTCATCTCCCCATTGCGTCCATTTCCCTATCCTTATCCACAATCCTCCCTTCCCATTTCCTCAATCCGCCCAAAATCTTCGCCCAACCCGCCGCCACTGTCAAAGTCCCCACCCAAATCTCCTCNCCCCTCTTCAAATCCACTCTCTCCGCGAACCCCCTCCACAGCACTCTCCCCCTCAACCCTCTCCGCCCCTCCGACCCCTCCGGCGCCGCCGCCGCCCGCCGCTCCTCCATCGTCTGGTTCCGCAACGATCTCCGCGTCCACGACAACGAGTGCCTCAATTCCGCCAACAATGAGTCCATGTCGGTCCTTCCCGTCTACTGCTTTGACCCCAGAGACTACGGCAAGTCCTCCTCCGGGTTCGACAAGACTGGCCCTCACCGCGCTACCTTCGTGATTGAGTCTGTTTCTGACCTCAGGAAGAACCTCGTGGCGCGGGGGTCCAATCTCGTGGTCAGAGTCGGAAAGCCCGAGACTGTCCTCGTCGAACTGGCTAAGGCGGTTGGGGCGGATGCAGTGTATGCTCATAGGGAGATTTCGCACGACGATGTTAAGGCAGAAGATAAGATTGAGAAGGTGATGAAGGAGGAGGGGATTGATGTGAAGTTCTTCTGGGGAAGCACATTGTACCATGTTGATGATTTGCCCTTCAAGCTGGAGGAGATGCCCACGAATTACGGTGGGTTTAGGGAGAAAGTTAAGAGCTTGGAGGTTCGGAAGACCATTGAAGCTCTGGATCAGTTGAGGGGAATGCCGAGCAGAGGGGATGTAGAAACTGGAGACATTCCTTCTTTGGCTGATTTGGGCCTCAACCCGAGTGCTGCTCCGAGCCAGGTTCCACATTTTTTCTTCTTCTCTATAGGTTTTTTCAATGTCAATGCATTGCTACCTATTTGACTGATAGCTTATACGAATACAATTGAGCACTTGAGCTGCCAACACTTTATAATGAACAAGGTTAAAAGCCCAGTAGTTATGAACAAGTTGAACACTTGTAAACACACCTTCCTCAGTTCCTAGTGTTGTGGGATTTAATGGGTTTGTTGTTTTGTTGTATGGTATACATGTGGAAAATCAAAACTTGATTTTGAGTTGTTTTCTCAGTAAATTAATGGGATCACTAATATCTTAGAGATTCTTTTAATATATATTTTCAATATTTCTGCAAAATAAACAGTTACGGAGTATTTGTTATATATCATGACCAAGATTCTAGAGAAATGTTATTATCCCACATGGATATCGAAGACTTCAACATACTGAAATATGCGTGGAAATTCCTAAAGTATTGGGATATTTTTCATAATCAGTTAAATATTCCAGTGAGAGATATTACAGCAAGATGCTTCTCTCGATCTGTCTTATAATTTTGGATTGAATGAGTTACAGAATGGGAGGCCTTCTGCAAATGCTTCCCTTGCTGGAGGGGAGACAGAAGCATTGCAGAGGGTTAAGAAATTCGCTGCGGAATGCGAAGCTCAACCACCCAAGAATGAAGAAAACCACCAGGATAGCATATACGGTGCAAACTTCTCCTGCAAGATATCTCCGTGGCTTTCAATGGGATGCCTCTCCCCTCGTTCCATGTTTGACGAGCTGAAGAAGTGCGCCTCAAAGTACGTATCCTGCCCCAGTAAACATCGAACATTTAAGCTAAGAAAAGACTAATATGTATACAAATATGAATTACTCCTCTCATAGTTCTATAATTTGTAACATCATCTATAAAAAAACATTGTTATCCTTTGTGCTGATAAAAGAATGTTACGTACTATTTGGTCTACAGAAAACTTTCTGCTGCATCTAAGATGGAAGATGGTGGCAATGGCAGTACTAGAGTGAACTGGTTGATGTATGAGCTGATGTGGAGAGATTTTTTCAGGTAAGAGTGCATATTTTGAAATTTTCAAGAAAGGGCAGATCCTTCCACCATTAACCGAAGGGCAAAATTTGTAACTTCATATGAGCTAAATAAGCATTTGCTTACTACTAATATAAGCATTTTTTAAAAGAGTTCGTGAATGAGGTGTTGAAAATGATTTGTGGGAATTCACTGGTTTGTTGTTATTAGTCCCAGAAACCGTTTTCCTCCCATCAAACACCACAAAACTGATATTCCATCCCCAAATACGGATTCAAAGCCATCGCCCTAACTTTGTAGAATGACAAAATGCCTTTCTTACCCCTATGATCAAACAATGGTTTTCGTTATACTTTGCAATTTGTTTGTGCTTATTGTTTGAGCAGATTCATCACCAAGAAATACAGCACTGCTAGACAAAGCAGCACCGCTCCGGTCACCGTATGTACAGCTGCTGCAGTATCTTGAAGCGGAGAAAAAAACCATTCCGGGCCTTTCTGCTTTTGTTATTGCTTGATGAATATGGGGTGTAATGAAAGAATGAATGAATGAGGTTTTCTCAGCTGAACTATGTGTTATTTGGGAAAAATAATTAATGGATTTTATCACCTTTCTATTTAGCTGTTTGTCTTTTGTTTCTCAGATCTGTTTTGTCTTTCTTTTGCATGATTTGTGGTTAATTGTGTAGTAAAATGGATTCTTTTTTGACATATGAATTGCCCATTTTGTATTTGAACTCAGCTAATCAAACACGTTTTATGGTCAAAATAATGGAACCTTAATTGTGACTTGACATGTTTATTAGGGAAAGTAGAATTGTGTGATTGTGGTTGGTGAAACCAATTCTAGAATTGGGATTGGCCATTGCTTAATATTTGGTCCGTCCCTGAGTGTCTGTCCACTTTTGACTTTTGAAACTGTTCATCTAAACACTTTGACTCATCAAATTCTCTCAATGTGTAAGCCTAAAAATAGTCATGTGTGATCTTGCTTGATTCGTCTTAACATATAGATTATTAATATATAATTTTTTAATATACAAATTACAAGATAAAATGAATTAAAAAAGTGCATTGAATGATGTGTAAAAATGAAAATGGACAAACACTCAGGGACGGAGGGAGTAGTTGGAGGAACTTTGTGGAGTTCAAAGTTTTCTGAAAATGTTGTTTTTTGATTTGTTACACAAACATTTTCATAATACTATGATAAATATTTGTTTAATTTATTCTTAATTAATTTGCTTATGTGAAAAATCATTCATTGTAATACGCAAAAAGTTATTCTCATAAAAGCAAAACGAATCTACTCCTAAATTTTGTGTCATTTTAACCCGAGAAGATATATTTGATAAAAACTAAAAAGACTAGGTATAAGTTTTGTAGAGTGAATAAATGTTGATTCAAGATTAGGTATATGGAGAACAAAATGTCGATGTTGTTTTTCAAAAACTTATGGTGCGATCAAAATTTATCTAAAGAGAACTTAACTATAACAATCACATTTTTCTTAGAATAGATTTTATACATCGAGTATTACATAGTATCTCTCTATAACGATAAGTCGCATACGTAGTCCAATATGCTTTTTGTAAAAGTATCTCTCTATAAGAATAGAGGAAACAATACTATGGTTTGTTGTATACAAAAAAGGAGTCGATAAATGACTCAAAAACGGAACATAATAATTATAAAACATATGTGTAAAAATGGCAGTGACAATATCAAACAAATGGGTAGCTCAAAAATGTGTTGGTAGGAAGGGCTAAGAGAACATTGGAGTGGAAATGGGGTTGAGAATGCAGGAAAAAAAAGAAAGAAAGAGAAAAAGGTATTTATGCAGCAGTAGAAAATGTGGAAGAACCAGCATTATTATTATTATTATTATTATTATTATTATCTTTTTGGTCACCAAAGATCCTTTGCCTGAAGTCTTGAACCATCATTGGCAAACCTTTCCTGAGAGGCACTTTGGGTTCCCAACCAAGCAAGTCTTTGGCCTTTGAGATATCCGGCTTCCTCATGTGCGGGTCGTCCTCCGTGTTTGGCCTGAACTCCATCTGCGCCTTTGAGTCTATCGTTTCCTGTACCACCTGCACACCAACCAACTCACTCACTCTATCACCACATCATATACTTCAATTCCAAGTTAAGTTGCACAAAGACAAGAGAGCTCATATCTTTTGTGTTCACCAAACGGACCCTGAATGCTTTTATCACAAGAGCGTGTTTGTTTTAGGAAGGTATACCTAAAAATTATAAGACATTATATTACCTTAGCAAGTTCAAGCATGGTGAATTCACCCGGGTTTCCAAGGTTAAAAGGCCCAACATGATCTCCTTCCATCAAACGAATCAGACCTTCAACCTGTGTGTGTAAACCAGTCATTAAAATATGTTCAGAAAGAGACACAAAATACCCATAAATCAAACTTACCAAATCTGAAACAAATTGGAAGCTCCTGGTCTGTTTTCCATCACCATAAACAGTCATTGGTTCCTTCCTCAATGCCTGACCGTTTTGATTTGATCAACCCAATAAATTCCACAGTCAACTTTTAGAAACCCAATAACTGCGGAAAGAGAAAGAAAAAGGGGGAAAACAGAAAATTCACCTGAGCAACAAAGTTGCTGACCACCCGGCCATCATCAATGCACATCCTTGGGCCATATGTGTTGAATATCCTGGCAATCCTCACCTGGAACAATGTCATTCTGTTAGTCGACTATTGAGTTTATCAAGGCACATTTTTCTTTATTTTCTTCAACTCTATGCTGCAAACTACGGAGTACTTCCTCCATTCTATTCGCATTGAACCGACCACTACAACTTTTGTGATACATGAAAATTTGAATATATGTCAACATGACGTATATTCATATTTATTTATTAATTTTTTGGTGTATCATAAAAGTCATAATCGTCATTTTAATGCGAATGGAGGGAGTATATACATAAAATTGAAAGACATACAGTTATGAACAAGTCCGAAGTATATACTCGTACCCCGTATCAGATACTAATCTTCTGATTTCATATTGAAATATGTGAATGAAGTTATTTCAAATTTAACTGTTTAAATATCGGTGGAAAATAAAAAACTAAAACTTACAGAGTATATATATATATATTAAAAAACTACGGAGTACATCAGAATTCTAAAAAGCGAAATGTGTAAAGCAAAAGCATATATTGGAAGATTAAAAAAGGGATGGATAAAGTAACAAATAATGTTTGACCAAAAACTAATCTAACCTCAACACCAGCACCTCTGTGGTAGTCCATGGTTAACGTCTCTGCCGTACGCTTCCCTTCGTCGTAGCAGCTCCGGACGCCTGTAACACATCAGAACCAGTCGGACGGTCAACCAAAGAACGAGATAAATTGGATTTTTAATCGCAGATTCGTTTTGAAAAGTGAAATTTGGTCTGGTGCTAGTGGAAAGAAAATGTGGTATACAGAAATGTGTCATCACTGCCACCTACCAATGGGATTGACATTTCCCCAGTAAGATTCCTTCTGGGGGTGCTCCAATGGATCCCCGTAAACCTCGCTGGTACTGGTTAGCAAGAACCGCGCCCCCACTCTCTTGGCCAAGCCCAGCATGTTCAGAGTCCCTACCACATTCGTCTTGTGAAGCTCCCAAAATCGCAGTTAGAATTAAGGAATTGAAATTTCTTGTGAAAATTGACGAAGAAAGAAGGAAAGAATTTGTTCAATCGAGTGAATAATTTGGGGAAATTGATGAAATAAAAAAAAAGAGGGAGGAGGAGGAGGAGGATATGATTGTCTTGACGGGGTTGTGCTTGTAATGAACCGGAGATGCAGGGCAGGCGAGGTGGTAGATCTGGTCAACCTCGAGGAGAAGGGGCTCGACGACGTCGTGCCGGATGAGCTCGAACCTGGAGTTGCCGAAGTGGTGCATCACGTTCTCCTTCCGCCCGGTGAAGAAGTTGTCGACGACGATCACGCTGTCGCCTCTGGCCACCAGGCGGTCCACCAGGTGGCTCCCGACGAATCCCGCCCCGCCCGTCACCACGATCCTCAAACCCTTCCTCTGCAGCCCCAGCGGGATTTTCCCGCCAGAATGGAGCGCCCCGAATCCGACGCCCTTCTGGTACATGAGCCGGCCGTGCTGGTGGGCGGCCGATCGGGAGGCCGAGATCGGGCCGAGGCCGCGGCCGCGCGGAGGATGCGGCGGCGGGCGCAGGGCGATGACGATGAACGCGGAGAGGGCCATCCCGGCGAGGAGGCAAACCAGGCGCTGCTCGCGGAGCATGTAACTGATCGAACCGTTGAAAGTCATCCACGGCTTCGGAGGCTTTGGCGTGTAGGCGTCGGTCTCCGGCGGCGATTCCTGACCTCGGAAGAACAGCTCCGATCCCATTACGGCGGAGACTCGATCACACAGTGAGTGTGTGTGTGAAAGCAAGCAATAGAGAGATATGTATATATGTCAATGGCAGCTTCTGTATGTATGTATGTATTTATATATAGACGGAGAGTGGAGTGTGGGGAAGATGGCGGATGCAGAGAAATTATCGCCGGGAATTCGTGGACTTCTCCGACTCACTCCCTCCAGGCGTTTCGCTCTGCTTCGCCCGGTCCGGTCCGACCGGATTGATTTTCTATTTTTTTTATTTTGTTACTCTATTACGTGTATTTTGATTTGTTTTTCAATTTCTAAACAAAGTTGGGTGAGATGTCATATACTCCTCCGTAGTATACTTCCTGCCCTGAAATTTTTGACAATTTCGCTGCATAATTTAAGATATGGTTTAAAATACTTCCGCAAGTTCAATTTATTAAATTGTAGATATAAAAATTTAAAATTAAAAATTTATATAGTAAAAATAACATGAAAAATTTTACAAATTAAAAGTAATGAGATTATATTATTTTATGAAATGAGTAATAAAAGTAAACAAACAAAGCAAATTAAGTTTGATCTTCTAAATAGTATCTGAGAATATCTATGTGAGGAAAGAGGGAAATATTAATTAATTTATGAATTGACGTTACCAAACATTAGTTACATACGTATGTTATTTTATCAAATTAATAAAAAAAATATGCAAATAAAATTAGATAATTTTTTTTAGTGTAACCAGAGAATGGAGAGTTTAGATATGGGACGAGTATAGTAAAGCCTCTTTCGGAAAGAATGATAAATAAAAGGTAAACTTTATTTTAGGGCAAATAGAGTAAACTCTCTAAAAAGGACAGTAATTTTTTCAAGAGTATAATGAAAATATTTCAAACGCACGGGAAATTTTTTCAAAGAGAATATATCAAAGTGTTTCAAAAGAACAGTATTTTTTTCAGTTATCAAATATAACTTTAATAAATTGTTGAAACAATTAAATTTTAATAGTCAAGATGCCTGGAATATTTTTAATGCGCCGTGAGAATTACTCCGTATTAAATATGATAACAAAAATTAAATCTTTTTTTAAAACAAGATTCTATGTTAGACGCTATCAAATGATTCTATTTTTGAGAAATATAAGTGTTTTAAACGTAACTCTCTATGTATGTATGGGTTATTGATTGTTTAAAATTTATCTTGCGTCAAAGTTTATGGAACAATTAAATTAATACGTAGTACCTCATAATTTGACTTTTTTTATCACCTAAAACAGACTATCTCAGTTTAAAAATAATCTCATCATTTTTTTTACCACAAAGGCTATTGTCCGTATACAGTAATTAGTATTGATGTACCAATGAAAAAAATTACAGAGTAATATAAAACACAAATTCTTCTCTTAAAAGTATAAAAAAATGGACATAAATTTTACTTAATTCAGAGTGGTTTACAATGGTTAACTGATTTTTTTCAATTCAAATAATTTTAAAATTTGTGTAGAAATAAAAAATACGGAGTATAAAACTAAATTTAAAATTTACATCTGAATATAATATTCTTTTTCTTTGTTTCAAACAGAGAAAGTATGATGAGAAACTAAATTTATTCTAAAAACCACGGAGTACATGTGAATATAACATTTTAAAAATTAAAAACTAAATTCAAATGAGTACATGATTTCATCTGAAAATTTTTATAAAACAAAAACATCATAAATATATTATATTTGATCAAATTATCAAATAAAATATATTTAAAGAGATATAATTCTATAATCTAAATATAAATGTTAACTATTTCGTGTCTTTTATTTTAAAAAATCACCTTAAATATATGTAAAACATAATAAAAGTACCAAAATAAAAACTCCATATTTTTTCCCAAAAAGGGAATTTGCATCGTGGTACTGTAAATACATTATAACTTTTATTTTGGGAATAAAAATAAAGAACTCTTGTCTTGGTATATTTTCAATGTTTTACTCCTATTTTAGCCGTTTTCTTTATTTAAAGACTTAATATTTTTTGTTGTTTTTCGAAATCATGTACTCATTTTTTTGGTGTACAAAAGCCATTTCCCTTGTGAAATTTATTAGCACTTAACAAACCCAATGAAGTCCACATTTGTTGTTGGTATCGAGAGAGAACGTTTCAACCACAAACAATAAACCCACAAATTGATTTGTCAACAAAGCTTTAGACGTGAATTCAAAGTGTGGTGTCATAATATATGAACTCACCTTCAAGCCTCCCCTATATACCACTTCTAACCGGTTGCCGCCTGTGTATGTGATAAGTTTCTTAGTGGGCCAAGGCCCACCCCACCGTTTTTTCAAGTAGACAATCATTTTCTGGACAATTCAATGTACTTGTACAGGGCGTATAGTAATAACATAGCCCACACATTTCACAGTACAGACATATGGAGTATAATAGGGCCTCTCATGGGGCCTGTGTCCACAGGCCCATCTATCGAGCGCTTGGCCCAGGCCCGGACACACTGCCCGCATGGGTTGCGTCGACTGAGCCTATATGTACACCCCACAATTAATAGGAAAACGCCATTTTTAACACCAGAGTTTGACACCATTGTATCTTACAAAGCCATGGACATACATAAGTTGTATGTGCGGCTACATATACACATATAATGACTATGTGTGCGTGTTTGTGAGACAGTGGTGGCGTGGTGCCATCAATGGTGTCAAACTTGGTGTCACTGTATCATGGTCCCAAATAATAAGGTTGGGTGGGGGGGTGGTGACATTTGAGGCAACTTTACTACAAGTATTTTGGCAGTGAAGCTTTTCTTATCTCGCAAGATCAACCATTTTGATTTCGTGCTTCCTGCGCCGGCACCTATGATGAGCTTTTTGCGCTGCATTCTTGCCCATCCTCTCTGCTTTAGATGCTGCGCAAATACACGACGGAGAGAAATTAGAACGATGAAAATTGGGACGTAAATGCTTATACATCTATGTACATCGTGAAACGACAAAGACATCAGATATAAATGTAAGAGAAAATGAGGCCAACCAAACCTATACAAAATGCTAATTATTGCTTAAAACATTTCCAGGTCATACTTCATACCATACTTCACTTCAAGCAAGCAATTTCCCCAATGCAGATCTTAAAAGAGCTTTTTACCTCTCAACTTTATGTTCATTCTTCATCTTCTCAGACATGTGAATCCAATCTTATTTTCTTGGAAGAATTGTGGTGTCAGCGGAAACAACATCTCTAGTCTCTATTCCCAAGAAGAGGTATGGTCTGCATACACACAACCTCCTCTACTATACGCTACCCTCTTGTGGAATTCTATTGGGTTTGTTGCTGTTCTTGTTGTGGTGCCATTGGATTGTGCAATGAAACTACACAATCTTCGAACGTTGTTTATTTAAATATGTTTTTACGTCTCCGTTTTTAAGATTATTTATCACTCCACCCCAAAATGCTCAAACTGAATACTATCAACAAGGCTCCTTATGTAAATTATCGGTCACATTAAAATGCTTCCTTAGGATTAACACCATCAAAAACATCTTTATACGCTTCACAAAATCTAAATTGACCTCTGATAGGACTTGGGAGTTACTGAATGCTTATTGTTAGCAAAATGGTGTGCAAAGCTTCACAAAGAATAGAAATTATCCATGTAATCAAGAACTGGCTAAAGAAAATGTCAGGCAGGGGATACCTCCAAACTCGTGGCCCCAGAATAAGAGCCGTTGATCTTCTTCTTCTTCGTCGATCTCGTCACCATACCCTATCTCCCCATCACCTCTATACCCTGGTTCACTTCCGTAACCAGACTCGTTACCTTGGCACTCGGCAATGCCAATGTGCAATGCACTACCACTTGAACTCTCCCTGTCTGCAATTCCACAATCCCTCTCCCTCCTAGAAGGTCTAGCTGCTGCTGCTGCAGCCGCCTCGCTCGCATCTGAAGCCCAATTCACATCCCCATTCACGAACAGCTCCCCGCTCGTATCCGTCCCAGGAGCCATCGGAAGATCAGAGCAGGTGCCGCAGGCGGCGGATGCCCCGACGGAACAGCACCTCAGCCGGGTCCCACTGCGCTCGCTGCTTCTGCCGGAGACCGACCTGGATCCGCGACGTCGACGCTTTCCAGCAATCCAGTGGGTCCTATCCCGTTTTCGGACCGATAAAGGCTGGTCTTCCTCGAACAGACTGAGCTTCGACATGTCGAGGGCGTCGACGGGGAACGCCGTCGCGCGATCGGCGCGGCAGGGTCGCTTGCTGAAGAAGGCATTGCCTTGGGGAGGAGAAGCATAGGGTTTAGGCGAGTCGGATCCTAGGGTTTTGGATTGAATCTGAAAGGGTCTCCAACTGTGGAGGTGAAATATACAGTTCTCGATAGCACGCCTCGGATCTAGGGATTTGGACGCCATGGACGGCTTCTTTACGAAGCTCTGAGCGATTCAATGGCGTTGATGGCACTCGAAAATGGGAGCTCTTCTTTCACTCCTGAGTATGTACGCTAATCTGTCTTAATGCTAACTTTCTTAACTCTAATCATGAAATTATTGAATTTACTCTCCCTCTTACAAATTGGAAATACTTTAGAGTTTAGACAGATGTTTATTTAAAAAGTCCAATTTAAATTTTATGAAAATTAAAAAGTTTGTTCAAAAGTCCGATTCAATTTTCATAAAAGTTAAAAAATTTGCGGTAGGAGTGAAGATTGATTCAGCGGCTCAGTATCTAAAAGATACTAGTTTAAGTATCTTAGTTTAGTATGACACGAGCTAGGAATGTTGCATATTGTATTGAACCAGCATGGGCAAATTGGAGGTTGGCCTTAGAGATTCTATGGGGCAAGAAAATTTCATCTAAGAGGAAATGGAAGTTTTACCGCTCCGCAGAATGCATATGTTGTACGACATTGATTATTGGGAGGTTAAGAAAAATATTTGTCAACTGCATGTCGTAGAAATATGGATGTCGTGGTAGATGAGTGGATACACAAAATTGGATAAGATACAGAATGAGATTATCCGAGAACACGTAGAAGTGCCACCCGTTGATGATACGCTACATGAAGCTACTTTTGCGGTGGTTTCGGTATGTGTGGAGTAGGGAGGAAAAGTCTATATGTACAAAGACCCTCTCCTAACTTTACTCCTATGAGATTCAACTAAATGTTGTTTAAAGTTAAAGAATTTGTTAAAAAGTTAAAAATATTACTCTCTCCGTTTGCCAAAACCCTTCCTATTTACTCCTCCCTCCGTCCCCCATAGATCTTCTCATTAGCCCTTTTTATTTGTTCATCATAGATCTTCTCATTACCTTTTTTAACACTTAAAATACCACAACTACCCCCACTTACTTTATTTATTACATCTCACCTACCTCATTTAATACACTCCACCCATTTTCATTAAGGGTATTATGGTAAACTTTTACCTTTTTTCAACTCTCCTAAAAAACCGCAAAAAGTCAAAACGAGAAGATCTTAGAGGGACGGAGGGAGTACTATTTATGGCATCTCGCTAATTTTTGCTTGCATTTGTTTTTTCATTAGTTATTTGATAAAATAAAATATTTTTGTCAACGCTTGTTTTTAAACATGTAAGTTTTATTTTTTATTTCAATATCAAATTGTAAATAAAATCATTTTTAAAAAGATAAGATTTTGTATGTAAAAATGAAATAGTAAGTGTTTTTGTAAACGGAAGTAGTATATTCTTAACTTTTTGTAGGTGCCAAAAGACAAACACGAGTTGGGAGACGGGAGGAAATTGAAATCGAACGAAACACCGACTTTCAAATAAAGCCAATATGACACTAGAGAAAGTATTGAAACAAAGATTTTTACTTCGTACAAGTTAATTTCGTTTAATTTCCATGGCTCCTTAAAGTAAATATTTTGAGTTAGTGTTTTCATGAATCTTAGATACAAGCATTTTCATATTGCAATAAAACAGATACAAGTATTTTCTCATGCACAATTATGTCATGGCATTATAATCAAATCCATGTTTAAAAACTCTATTGGAGCTTAATGAAGATGGACCCAATCCTTTATTTATCCCATATGCTCACTTGTACAGCAATTATCACAATCCATATCAATACGGTTACGTCAATGCATTTATACACACAAATCAAGGCCATTCATACAATGACTTCATCCAGAATCTAATGAGCAATAAGAAAACATTTGGGACTCAATCAAACAGGAAGAGATGATGATGATGATGATGATGATGGTGATGATGGCAGCAGACCTTAGGCCTTATGCTTTGGCTTCTTCACAATCATGACACTGCAGTGAGCATGGTGAGCACAATAGTCACTTACACTGCCCAGTACAGCCCTGCACCACAAATTAAGCCACCGTCAAAATTTTATAAATTTTAATCTATAGGACGTGAAATTTAACTAAATAATACCCCGTACTAAAACATCCTCTCTGTTGGGGATTCCTCCAAGTCCCACACCGGAGGGAGAAGAAAAAATGGACCAAAATATATAGGTTCACTCAACCCCATTGGTATGAGGCCTTTTGGGAGGTGCCCAAAAATAAATCCGTGAGGGCTTGGCCCAGAGCGGACAATATCATACTAATGCGGGGTTGGGGTGAGGGCACGCGCAGTCCCAACATGTGGTATCGGAGCCCAGGTTCTTGCGGGCGTGAGGCGGACTGTGTAGTGTGAAAAAATCTCAGTGTGACGGTGTAACAAAAAGGACCAAGACCAAGAAAGAGGATCTGCAGGTGGTGCCTTGTGTCGAAAGTCTTCCCGGCGAGAGGAGGTCGGGCGGCGTGTCCCGTGAAGTTATAGCCACGGCGGTACAAGATGATTTGGCAGATCAAAATGGTGTAGCCCAGCGAAGGAAAGATCTGTGGTTCGAGCCTTGCGTCGAAAGTCTTCCCAACAGGAGGTCGGGCGGCGTGTCCCGCAAAGAGTGTGCGGCGGTGCAAGATGGTTAGCAGATAAAAGGAAAAATGGATTACCGCGCTGGAGGGGAGGTCGGAAATTGTGTGGTCCTTGGTTGAGGGGAGGTTTGTTGGGGATTCCTCCAAGTCCCACACCGGAGGGAGAAGAAAAAATGGACCAAAATATATAGGTTCACCCAACCCTATTAGTATGAGGCCTTTTGGGAGGTGCCCAAAAA